CACTAGCTCTCGGGAGGCTGAGGCCGGCGGATTGCTCGAGGTCAGGAGTTCGAAACCAGCCTGAGCAAGAGGAGACCCGTCTCTACTATAAATAGAAGAGAACTAATTGGCCAACTGATATATATATAAAAAATTAGCCGGGCATGGGTGGCACATGCCTGTAGTCCCAGCTACCCGGGAGGCTGAGGCGCAGGATCGCTGAGCCCAGGAGTTGGAGGTTGCTGTGAGCGAGGCTGACGCCACGGCACTCACTCTAGGGGGGGGCCCCATTGGGGAACAGCTGCTGCTGAGCGCGGGGCGTTTCCGGGGAGGGCCGGCGGGCGCCTGGGCGCAGCCCCTCGCGCTCCCGCACCCGGCGGGTCGGAGGAGACGCTCCTCACGACCTGGCGCTCCCCATCTGCCGCCCGCAGCGCCCTGTCCGCTCCGCGCCGGCCCCGCCTCTGGCCGGACCCTGGGTCCCGCGCGACGGCGGCGGTGCTGGCCCGCCGCTGCTGGGGCCAGGCGTGCGCGGTGCCGCCGGCCGCTGGCCAAGTGCCCGCGCCACCAGGCCTTGGCGCCTTGCCGCTGCGTGCCTCAGTTTCCTCATCTGAAATGGAGTGCGGCCCAGCGCGGGGGCCCGCGTGGGCGGGGAGGGCCAGCGGGGCTCTGCGCCCAGGGAGGGCGGCGCCTGGGTTCGCAGAGTGTCCCCTGCCAGCCGCGGCCTGCACGGTCGGAGGGACCCCGCCTGCTCCGAGGAACCGCGGGCCTCATGCTCCCCTGGAGACCTTTGTCTTTACCGGCCAGCCGACTCGGCAAGGCCTCCACGGCTCCTCCAGCTCTCCGCGCAGGCGAGGCAAGGAGCGTGCCCCTCCGCAGGGCCTCTGCCAGGCGGCCGGGCCCTGACGGCGGTCCGCACTGCGCCCTGAGCGAGTTTTCCTGCAGGGCGTCCGCCTGGGTCCCTAATGAGGGTGGAGGTTCGGAGGCTCTGGGCCGGCGTCGCGGGCTCTGCTGGGGCTGTGGGGCAGCAGCTAAGAAGCCAGCTAGTCTGCCTGGGGTCAGCGAAACTGTTCGGTGAGCCGCTCACCGCCTGTATGCCCCAGAAAGCCGGGGACGCCAGAAAATAGGCGCGCTGTTAGTACTGCCTTTGCTACCCAGTCGGCCCAGATAATAGGAGGAAGTTACAGAAGTTAGAAGGATTTGAGGGGAAAGTGCTGTCAGAGTTGGTGGAAATTGCCCAGAAAATTTAATTTAATAATAATAGAGAGGATCCTGGAACTGTACAGTCAAAAAAGATGGCCAAGGTACTGCTAACAGCTACGACCAAACAAGAATAGAAACGGGAAGAGGCAAACCAAGAATGGGAGTCGCCCCAAAGAAAGGAAGACATGGGGCACTCTACCAGGAGCGAGGCCTGCTAACATCAGGAGGCAAGGAGATAAACAATAAACTAGAAATACTGGCCCTGCTGGAAGCCATCTGGTTGGCAAAACATGTGGCCATTATTCATTGCAAAGGGCATCAGACAGCTGCCTCCCCAGTGGCTCAGGGGAATGCTTTTGCTGCCGCCACAGCTAAAGAAGTTGCACAGAAACCAGTGAGGCCTGCATAGATCCTTCCTCTTTGCCAGAAAGACTTTTACCGAATTCTTCAAACTATGCTAAGGAAGAAGCAAAATTAGGGAATGCTTTAAAGGGTAGGATTGACCCAGGAGGCTGGAGAATTCTTCCCGACAATAGGATCTTAGTCCCCGAGCATTTGCGACAAAAGCTAATTAGACAAATACATCAGAGCACTCATCTGGGTAGCACTACTACTGGGTAGGACTACTATACTCCTCGGCTCCACCAGATGCCTTGCCTATGCCCAAGTCAATTCAGGTAAAGGACCTAATTCTTCTCTTGGGACTAGACTGAGAGGGCTGGTGCCAGGAGAACAATGGGAAGTGGACTTCATTGAAGTGAAGCCTGGAAAATATGGATACAAGTACTTACTTGTATTTGTTGATACCTTGTCCAGTTGGGCAGAAGCTTTTCCTACAAAAACAGAGACAGCACAGGTAGTTGTAAAGAAACTAGTAACAAATTATTCCTAGATTTGGTCTCCCACTAACCATGGGGTCTGACAGTGGCCCAGCGTTCATCGCCAAGACAACTCAATTGTTGGCCAAGGTGTTGAAGGTTAATTGGAAACTACACTGTGCTTATAGGCCTCAAAGTTCAGGACAGGTAGAAAGGATGAATAGGACTCTGAAGAAACATTGAGTAAACTCAAGCTGGAGACTGGCGAAGACTGGGTGAGTCTTCTTCATTTTGCCCTATTGAGATCCAGATGTATTCCATATGTAAAAGGCTTAACACCATATTAAATCATGTTTGGCCGACCTCCCCCACTTGTTCCTAAATTGGGGGAGGACAGGATTGCAGAATTAAGTGATTCTACACTTCTTAAGTCTTTACAGGCCTTACAATTGAGCACTGGGCAGATTCCAGACACCGTAAAGGCTGCCTACCTGGGGCCTGCCAATCCTCCTCATAAAAAGACTGTTCCAGATGCAGCCTGGAGACCTTGTTTGGATAAAGAAGCTCCAACCAGCGACCTTGGAAGACAAGTGGACTGGACCGCTGCCAGTGACCTTCACCACACCAACTGCCCTGAAGGTTGCAGGAAAACGCCACTGGATTCATCATTCACAGGTTAAAAAAGCGTCTCCAGGACAACTGACTGAAGAATGGACCGTGGGCCCCACTGGAGATCCGTTAAAGATGAGACTTTTAAAGCATTCTTCTGGAGTGCCCTAGTTATTTTGGTGGGAGGAAGCCCCTATCAATCTGCAAATTATACTTGGATGCTTACACGGACTGTAGATGGCACTAGAGTAACCCAGAATTCGTCATTGTCTTCACCAACACTTTATTTTGACCTTTGCCACCTTTTAGGGGAAAGGTATAATAAACATAGTCGGGGAGCCCCCTTATCAGGGTGTCCCTGAGTGGGCTAGGCTGGAGCCTGCATATGGGTGCAGATCCATTAACATGGAAAAGGGTCTGCGAGGCTCCCAGTATTATGCTTGTCCAGCTACAAGCCCCATACTGTCAGGCAGAAGGGCATCATCATTGTGCCAAATGGAATTGTGTGACTATTGCCTCTTGGGTAAACAAGGACCCTGATATCCTATTTGTGTGGGGAACTCCTACTTGTAATTCTCTGGGAACTTGTAACCCCATAACTATCACCATTAAGCAATGGCACAACCCAGCTTGGGCTTCTGGGAAGACTTGGGGTTTTAGACTATATGCTACAACAGAGGGTTATAGTGGTCCAGGAATCCACTTCACCATACAAAGACCCACTCTGGTGAGACAGCGCAATCCTATAGGCCTGGATCGTGAAATATATTTGGACCCAGTACTACCATCTCCACCATGCCCCACAGGCCTAAAAGTAATCCCACCTGTGGGGCTGTCCCCACCTATACGTGGATTGCTGCCAGTCCCTCGCAGGCAGCCCTTACTTAATCTACTAGATTCTGTCTATAACTTTATTAATCAGACTAGACCTAATATGACTAGAGATTGTTGGCTTTGTTTGAACTCCAAACCCCCTTATTATGTAGGCATTGGGGTCAAGTAGTCCTATTGGCCCCAAGGAAAATTATATTAGGAACTTGACCACTGAGGACACCTATAAACGACACATAAATGGAGTCAAAAGCCCAAATTAACTTTAAAAGATCTGGAAGGCACTTGTATATGTCCAGATTTTACCTTGGCCCAATCCCCTTACACCAATTCCTTCAATTCTATCATATAGGTAGATAATCTGACAGACCAAGACTTTAAGTCACTTCTGATTGCACCAGCTGGTACCTGGTTCGCAGGTACTGCTGGAATCTCTCCGTGTATAAGGCCCTCTGTAATTGTACAGGAATGAGATCTTTGTGTTCTTTCACATATTGTTCCCCAAATATATTTTTACTCCGGGGATGGAAGAAGAGACCATTTACAAGCATCTGCCCTGTGGCACATAAAAAGAGCTATACCCATTTTAGTGCCTCTACTAATAGGTTTGGGAATTGCAGGGTCTGCAGCTGTGGGTACCACAGCCCTCATTACTGATAACCAAAATTTCAGAGTTTTAAGTCAACAAGTTGATTTAGATCTTAGTGACTTGGAAATGTATGTCAGTCATTTGGAACAATTGGTTGACTCTTTGGCTGAGGTGGTTTTATAAAACCAAAAAGGCCTAGATATCCTATTTCTCAAACAAGGGGGCCTGTGTGTTTATGCCAGTCATTCAGGAATAATCAGAAACAGTCTCTCTCAATAGAATACAGGAAAGAGAAGAACAGCAAACAAAGGTTAATAATTGGTATGAAAACCTCTTTTCCTGGTTCCCGTGGTTAACTGCTCTCTTGTCAGCCGTAAGTCAGACCACTAGTTTTAATCCTTTTGGCCTTGCTAATTGGTCCATGCATATTAAATTGTCTAATGATTTATATTCAAAAAAGAATACAAAGTGTCAAGTTGATGGTGTTTTGCACACATTATCACCATGTTTGTGATGATGAATCAAGGATTTGATTCTTATTATAAAAAAACAGTGGGGAATGTAGAAGTAGAAGCTGACCTGGTGTTTCCTGTTATCCCAGACCCTCAGTAGAAATTCCTAAGGCTTGCAGAAGAGAAAAACAGAGTAATAAATCAGAGCCCTTTCTGTAACCTAGTTAAAATTTTACTATGTTTGCTCAATTTAGAAAAGAATGTGCTGTAACCTTGGCTGATGTTGTTTGCTTCTGTAACCCAGCTAGCACAAGAATTGTGAGTATTGTTAGTGTTGTTATCAGGCCAGGGAGTTTGAGGCTGGTCGCGGACCCCCACAGCATGGAAAACATGATGTGATGTTACAAGATAATGTTTCAATTGCTGTGCCTAAAGTCACAAAGCCCCTAACTTAGAAGGGTATAAAAACCTCCCTGCTGCTTCTGCTGGGGCCTCTCTCTGTACCTGCCATCTTGGGGAACAGAGGTGGTCGCTGGCCAGCTAATGAGGACTCACAGTTCATTTCAATTTGGTCTGAAGTGGTCATTTCTTGCACTCCATATCATAACACCCACTCCTAAGGATTCATACAAGAGAAATAACAACTCTGTTCATATAAAACCCTAACGTGAATGTTCACAGCACTCTTATTCATAAATACCAAAAACTGCAAACAACCCAAATGGCTTTCAACTGGTAAAGGGATAAACAAAGTGTGATACATCTGTAACGGAATACTACTCAGCAACAAAAAAGGAATGAACTACTGATACATGCAATAACATGACTAAATCTCAAATGCAGTTTGCTAGGTAAAAAAAAAAAAAGCCATACTCAAAAGCTACATACTGTCTGATTCCATTTATAACACATTCTGAAAAAGGCAGAATTATTAGGACAGAAAACAGATAAATGGTCTCCAGGGGTTGCAAGTGAAGAGAGGGACTAATGTCAAAGGGCCAGCAGTAGGTCCCCGGGGTGTGCTAGAGCTGTCTGTGCCGCATGTTGAGCGCGTGGGCATGGGCATCACATGGGCCCTATGCATTTTGTTTTAACTGATAGAACTATACTCTCAAAAGAGTGAGTTTTACTATACTTAAAATTTAAAAAGAGAATAAAGTATAAGTAAACAACAAAATAAATGAGGAAATATTTTGATACATTTTGTTGGGATGAATTGTGGAAAATAATAGGTGAAGATAGCAAGGCAGAATGGCTTAACTGATATGCTATGTTTTATCTAAGAAAGGGAGTATGTTAGGCGGGGTTCCCACCCACTTTTGTCCACGCCCTAGATAATCCCCACGAGTGTGGGCAGACCTGTAAATAGAATCAGATGTCTCCTGTGATCATGTTACATTTTACAGCAAAGGCGACATCCAGGCTGGGTCTGACTTAACTGGACGAGCCCTTTGAAAGCCACGAGTTTGATGTACTCCCACTGGCCTGGAGGAAAGCAAGAGAGTCAGCCCTTCATATCCCCGGGTTCTGCATCTAAGGTTCAAACAAACACAGATGAAAAAACCCCAGCATTTGCAGGATGTGGAACCCACAAATACAGAGAGCCAACTTTTCATACCTGTGGGTGCTGCAGGACCGCCTGTGAGGCGTAGACACCTGCTGGTTTGGTGTCTGCGGGTCCTGGAACCAAGCCCCACTGATGCCGAGAGAGGGTGCGTCTTTGTTGTGAACTGCTGGAGAGGCCGAGAGGCCTCTAGGAGGTGACAGGGACTCCTGGCTGACAGCCAGCCATGACAGCCAGCAACTTAATGGTGCCAACTACTGAATGAGCTCAGAAGGGGACCCAAGCTCCAGACGAGATGACAGTTGACTGACACCTTGATGTCAGCCTCAGGAGACCCTGAGCAGAGACCCTGCCAGGCTCTGCTGGTTTCTGACCTACAGAACTGTGAACGGAAGCTGCTGTTGTTTTCGGCTATGCAGCAGCTGGTGCAAACACAATTTACGTTTGCTTACATTGTTTAAAAATGAAGGAATAAATAAAAAGCTAATGAAATTGTTATTTATAGGATGAAATATAGGTTAGACTCATCTTAATGTACTTTATAGATTTGACTTTAGAATCATGTAAAATGTTTTACATAATTACAATTTAATGTTAAATTAAAAATTTTTAAAGCAATTCATAAAAATAAAGGAAATGAAACTAAATCTATTGAGTTATGGCTTAATACCATATAGAGAGAAATGATTTCAAATGACTTTAGATTTTAATAATTTACTTGTACATTCATAATGGGATACACCCTATGAGCAAAAACATTACAAACATATCTTTAATGCTTTTTAGTAATACTATTGTAAAGAATTATATACTAACATTATCAATAATATTACTACTACTAACATTGCTGTTATCCCAAAGCTAATATGAATGGTAGAATAAAGAAAATATTTAATTGTGTTCTGTCTTAGGAGCTAAGATTTTCAGCATAAGAAGAGAGAGAAATGTACAATTAAATTAAGTAAAAACACTTTAAAGCTAAATTTTAATTGGAAATATTAGAATACCCTCATGATATATTTCTTTAAAAAACTATTTCCTGGCTCTGACCTTTGAAAAATGCTAAAAGCTACGGCAACCCAGAAGCAAGGAGCAGCCCTGCCTCCCAGACGGGCTTCCACACAGGGAGGGCCAGCTCCGGGGAGCCCCCAACTCCGGTCACTGCAGGCAGCAGAACGCCCCAAGGATGGCCCAGGCACGCCAGGAAGGCTGGACACCAACTTGAAGGAGTTTCCTTGGGCCAAAAGTGTGATCGTTTGTATATTGGAAAGAATAATAACTACAAATGATTGAAACACATTTAATATGTCTAAATCTGAGATTTGTAATAATACCAAAACAAATAAGCAAAAGCCACAACTCATCATCTGCCTTTGGATGACACTAAGAATCAATAATATTTTTTCCCCGAACACTTGTAAATAAAAGAAAAGAACCACATATTTGTCTGTTTGTCTTGCTTTTGTTTTATAGGCTGTAGCTCAAAATAGATGAGGAAATTTTTTTTTTTTTTAGAGACAAAGTCTTGCTCTGTCGCCTAGGCTAGAGTGCCGTGGCGTTATCACAGCTCACTGCAACCTCAAACTCCTGGGCTCAAGTGATCCTCCTGCCTCAGTCTCCCAAGTAGCTGGGACTGCCACCACACCTGACTAGTTTTTACAATTTTTTGTAGAAACAGGGTCTCACTGTGTTGCCCAGGCTGGTCTCAAACTGGCCTCAAAGTGATCCTCCTTGGCCTCCCAAAAGTGCTGGGATTACAGGTGTGAACCTGGTGGAAAATTCTTCTTATAGAGGAATTCTGGGCTATCGTCCAGAATGAAGAAGGAATGATAGAATTAGATTATTACCATTTTGCAAGCTATAACGAAAAGTGGATGGAGACAGTAATAACCCATGGTTGCTAAGCAATTCGGTGAGTGGCAGATGTGCAATGCACAGCTGGGCTCACAGGTGGTTAGTCTTAGCCTCATAGAAAGAGAAACAGATATTGTGTGTGTACCAGACCTGGTATGGTGCAATGGGAAGAAATCTTGCCAAAAAAAAAAAAAAAAAAAAAAAAAAAAAAAAAAAAAAAAAAAAAAAAAAAAAAAAAATCAAGCCAGAATGTTTCCAAACCTCTAGATCTAACAACAGTTTATAGGAAATACAGGATTACAGAGGAATAGGACAAGTGACGTCGTCGTAGGCAGAAGACACCCACAGCCCTGTGATGTCCCCTGATCCTCACATGGCAAAAAGAGGTTTACAGGAGTGACTAAGGTCATGCAACCCTGAGTCCTTAACAGCAGAGAACCTATCGCAGCCTGGTCAGAGAGGTGTCACTCTGGGGCAAGGCAGAGGGGACATGGGCACTGGGAGTGGCTCTGAAGCTGGGGTGGGAGCTGACAACTGTGGGGGCCCTCAGCCGACAGCTGCCAGGAGGTGGCCTTTGGCACTCACTACGAGGAGCTGAGTTCTGCCAGCCTCCCGACCAGCAAGGAAGGCGACCTGCCCAGAACGCGGAGGGGACCCAGCCCAGCCAGCTGTGCAGTTTTAGTTGGGGAGGCCCGGACGCGACCTCCAGGCTCCAGAGTAAGAGAGTAAACTTGTGTTGAGTAGGCGCTAGGATGCTGGTGACCACTCCACCCACTCTGCCACCCCCACTTTTTCAGCCACCTCCTTTGTCTTCAGGCAAATTACTCTATTTACTATAAGTATGTATTTGAAACATTTGTATATAATCATGTCTTTTATTTTTACACAGCAAGCTGTCTTCTATGTTTATTTTTCAATCCAATCTTTTTTAAAAATTTGATTTATTGTATTCAGTCATTTCTACAGAGATCATATCATGGGGATGTTTTGTGGCCTTGGAAAAATTACATAATTGCTTTAGATTTCAGGGTTTTTTTCCACTATTCTTTCTTTCTTTCTTTCTTTCTTTCTTTCTTTCTTTCTTTCTTTCTTTCTTTCTTTTATTAAACATGTCTCACATTAATCATTTCTAGCTTACCTTTTCCACTAAAAGAGCAACCTGAATGAGATAATTCCAAGTCTTCAATATAGGGTGGTTATTACTACTTCAGATAGGCTTTACAGTCATGAATTCATTCATTCAGTTAACATTTATTGAGCACCTACTATGTGCCAGCACTGTGTTATTCCCTGGAGACAAGGTAACAAACAGTCTTTGTCATCATAGAACTTCAACAGCTACTACTTCTCCTCCTCCTCCTTCTTCTCCTCCTTTTCTTCTTCTTCTTCCTTTTTGTGGTGAAAACACATAACATAAAATTTACCCTGGTAACCATTTTTAGGTGTATATACTTCAGTAGTGTTAACCATAAGTACCTTGTTGTCCATCACATTTCTAGAACTTTTTAATCTTGCGAAACTGAAACTGTATACCCATTGAGGAAAAACCCTCCTTTCCCCTCTCACCAGCCCTGGGCAATTATGACTTTGCTGTTTTTAAGAGTTTGACTATTTTATATATCTCATTTAAAGGAATCATGTAATATGTGTCTTTTTTGGTGATTGGCTTGTTTTATTTAGTATAATGTCCTCAAGTTTCATCCATGTTGTAGCAGATGAGAGGATTTCCTTTTTTAAAGCTGAATAATATTCGATTGTATGTATATACCATATTTTGTTTATCTATTCATCAACTGATGGACTTTTAGCTTTTCTTTTTGTACCGTTTTTCTATTTTCTATTTCATTTACTTCTGCTCTGATACTTATTATTTTCTTCCTCCTGATAACTTTGGGTTTAGTTTGTTTTTCTTTTTCTACTTTTTAGGTTGTTATTTTGAGGTCTTTCTTCTTTCTTTCTTTCTTTCTTTCTTTTTTTTTTTTTTTTTTTTTAGTATAGATGGGGTCTCGCTCTTGCTCAGGCTGGTCTTGAACTCCTGAGCTTAAGCAATCCTCCTGCCTTGACCTCCCAGAGTGCTAGGATTACAGGTGTGAGCCACCTCACCCGGCCTCTTCTTTCTTAATTTAGGCATTCAGTACTATAAACTTTCCTCTTGGTACTGTGTTGGGGGCTGATTCAGGCGTTATGCCTTATACTAATCATTTGTTATAGCCTGTGATGTAGATGTACCGCATGATGCAGCGGTAGCCAGTATTCTCTTCAGATATGGCTGCTGATTTGGGACATAACAAGAGGCCTGACTTTCTGCACGTAAGCAAGAGCTGCCCAGCTCCCACACGGTGGGCCCCTGTGGTGGGAGTCTGGAGGCCATAAAGATAAGAAGAACATTCCTAAGGTCTGGCCCTGTGAGATGGTTGGTAGTCAATGACGGGTA